ATGCTTTAGCTTTTATTTCATTTTTTACACTTTCATGCTTTCACAATAGTATCACGCTTCCTCTTTGTAATTTAATTTTCTTATCATGCACTCTCTTTCTTCTCTTTTCCTTTATGTTTCTCTTTTATTTTGATCAACAAACTAATATTTTAGCCTTAATTGTGGGAAGTTCTTGATGTTCTTTCAGGGCAATTATTTATGGACCCTTATGCAGAAATACACCCATATTTCTGCGACAATCATTTGACCAAGGTGCATCTCAAAATTTATTTAATCGATGCTTTTCTATTGACTTGTAGCTGAGTTTCTCATTTGGAACTAGTGAGGGTCATTGAGAATTTCTCTTTCTCACTTTGAGTAAAGTGAGTGGTACACCTTTATAGTCTTATCTACCACGTAGTCGAAAAGAGAGATTTTAGAGACAACACAATGTTAAAAGAAGCCAGTGGCTTCTTGGATGGATTGATGTTGTTGTTTGATATTTTCCGTAAGATAAGGGTCATTTTGTCCAAATCAATAAGTATAGAGGTTTGTTTGCCCGTACAATAAGTTGGGGAACTAATTTCAACTAAACATTGAGTAGGGGGTTGATTTGCATAATTTATGTGTTACCTTTGTACAACAATTACTGGGTGTGATTATTGTTTCACACAAAAATGTTATGATTACACAATTTTTTTTTTTTTTGGCTTTTGATAATATCAATTTATAAATTGCATTCAATCTATTAACTAATAAATATTAATTGTTAATATTAATTATTAGCTAACCACTATACTTATCAATTATTTCTTAATAATCAAAATAAATAAAATTAATATTTTTAAATACAATTATAGAAAAATGTGTGTGGCCATTTTGTGTAAGTACAACCATATATAACCATGCGCACAACAACATAGTAACATGAAAGAGGACTGATGTCATAGTTATCAATAAATTTATTAAGATTATTAATTTTAATTATAATTTTATTAATTTATAATTTTTTTAAAATAATTAATTATATATGATACTTAAAAATATTTATTTAAAAATTAATTTTAATATATTAAATAGTATATGTTAATTATTTTATTAATTATCATCTATTTTTAATAATTAAATTAAAATATAAATTTAATTAATTTAGTGGCGCTAATCAATTTCGAAGTTGACAGGCAAAAGGTGAAATTAAGCCCTTGTTCATCCAATGTTGCGGCATCTATTTTTAACAGGCAAGGTGGCCATTCTCTGTGGTGTATTATTGAGGTGGATAGGCTCGTGACAGTTAATAAAAGTAAAAAGTCGAGAATCCTAGGAAGTAACGGTACATGTATAAAATAATGAATGGCTCTTCTCATAGTAATAATTAAGTTCTGATTTTGATAGAGAACGACAGTTGATCCCCTAGAAATTATTCATCAATTGCCCATATATTAATAACTGCAAGCTATCCCTAGAATAACAAAGATGATGTGGCAAGGATTTATTTATTTATAAATTTTATTTATTATATTTATATAAAATTTTAATTATTTATTTTTAATATTTATTAAAAATAATTATTTTTATATAAAAATTATGATAAATTTTAATAATTGAAAATAAAAAAATAAATAATCAAAATTTTATATAGACATACTATATAATTTGTGTGTAAATACATTTCTACCCTTATTATAAATATGTTTAATTTTTTTATTTTATCAATTCACAATTGTTAAAGTGTTTAGAAGCATCCATTTATATTTTAATTTTAATATATTAAATAATAAATATAACTTAATCTATTTGTTATCAATTAATAAATATTATTATTAATTATTTTTCATAATTTAACTAAATATACTTCTCTCATTTTTACGTACCCTTCACAATTCTTTATAACGCCATAACCATGGCCAAAAGCAGGTTATCCCATGTTGTTCAAACTTCAAAGAAAAAAAAAAAAAAAAAGTTCATCCCATGCATAGACAAACATAAATGTCACTGTTGTAGGGAGATAAACCTCAGTCCCATTAACATCAGAAAGCTTCAAAAGCCTGTCACTGCAAGCTCCTTCATGCTAAAACTACAATTGTTACTGATGATGGTGATAGAAAAGTTCTTTTGACTATTTTTTTGAACTAAGCTGGAATGAAAAGTTACTTTGACAATGAAACTGTGCAGACATAGAAAAATTGTTGGTAGATTTGAACAAGATCAGTATTAATTAATTACGCGGCTGTTGTACTAATGCATTCCAACATTTCCTTATTTTGATTAAATAACGGCGCATGTACGGACTAAGAAAAAAATTTGGATTCTGTTACTTTTTGGGCCTTTATTAGATGTTTGTGTTTGTGTTTGTGTTTGTGCACGTGGTGTAAGAGCATCCCTCAATTAATTTAGGCTTTTTTTCGACTGGTATTTTCATGAATAATGTTTGAGGGTGTACCTCACAATGCTGCTCATCAAGGTAGGCTTCTCTCAGGTATTCTTGACTCGGTACATGGACTTTAACGTCATATTTTTTGTATACCTAATGGCTCTACCCTTGTGTTTTTTTTTTCAATTAATCAGTTGATATGACCTTTTGTTTTAATTAAGCAATTAGATTAAAATTGGGAGTTAATATGACCTTTTGTTTAATTAATCAATTAGATTAACGTTGGCTTTTGAGCTTTTAACACTATTTAAAACTTTATTATGCATTTCATCTCAAAATAGTTATCATTTTTTATAATTTTTTTATAAATTAAGAAATTATAGATAATTAATTTCATATCTTTACTTATCTTACCCTTAATAAAAAGATAAAACAAAGTGGATGTTTGGTGATAAAGTAGATTATTAAAGTTAAGAATAATAACAAGATTAAAGTAAGAAGAAAATTATATTTTACCTTAAAAATTCAAAAATGAAAAAAAAAATTTAAGAAAAACTTGAGTTAAAAAAATCATTATTTTACGATAAATAGAGTAAATATTTATTCAATACTAATAATAAATATTTGTTAGTAAATGATACTTTCTTCATTTATTTTTAATAGATTTAATTTTTTAATAAAATAAAAATATAATAATTTATTAATAAAATTTTATATTTATTCTTAATTATTTATCACTTAAATAAGATTTTTTATTTAATATATTGTAATTGTCTTTTTAAAATGAGAGTAAAATAAAAATAAATATATTAAATGATATTTTTTTTTTTAAAATGAACAACTAAATTTAAATACTTCAAATAAGAAATTAAGTCTCCTAAAATTGAGCAAAGAGAATATATTTGATTTGAGAGAAGAGAAAAAGAAAAAGAAATTTCATTAAATCAAATTAAAATATTAGACTAAAATCTTAATTTAATTAAATAAAATATTTTTCTTCTCTTCTATTTTCCTCTATTTTATCAGTCCAGACATACCATTTGTGATGTACAAGTTTTCTTCCGGGTATCAAATTAAGTTATTAAGTCATTATTCTGATCAAATTGTGTTAATAAGTCATTATTCTGATTCAAGGAAAATGAGAAGAAGACAAAAGGAAAAGAAAGTCGACAAAAAAAAACTTATTGGGAGGGGACGCAAACACAAGTATCAAGAGTATAGGACCACATCCTGACAAAAATAAAAGAGTATATAATATAGTACCTTATCCTGATAAGAAAAAAAAAAAAAAAAAAGTACCACATAAACAGTCTATCTCTTGATGTAAAATTCACAATATTTTGCTGGGAGGCTTGATGAGTGGGGTCTATAATATGTGGCACTTTATTCAAATCAGAGATGTAGTCATGTAGATGCACTTGATGGGAACCCTTTTGTTCATATCAGAGAGAACTATTTACTTTTGGG